GAACCAATCAACGAAAAGTCGAGACTAGTGCTACCCCTCAACTTGACATTATAGACATCAAAGGTTGTCTAAAAGCAATAGATGATTTACCTATCTAAGTGAGATGTATATAGTGTCTAAACCCAAAGCATTATTATGCAATATACAACATCTATAAGAATAGAGATTAAGTAATAACACAGAAGGGCATTTGGTCTAGTGGTATGATTCTCGCTTTGGGTGCGAGAGGTCCCGAGTTCGATTCTCGGAATGCCCCTTTTCAATCAAGTCAATGCAATTTTTATTATCTTTTTTCGGATTTTCTCGTGTCATTTTATATTTTCAATAACATGTTAATTAAAGGGCTATCAAATTATAGAAGCTGGCAAAGTCAACTTAGGGGTAGAAAAAAGTTTGGATAACAGCTATAAAATGGTTCATTTTTATAAGTTATTGTTAATTATCTCGGTGTCGAAGTGATCTAGTAAAAAACCCAACCCGAAAGACTCCTAGATGTTTACTAGTCTAAACCGATACAGTTTCACTCAGCAAACAAAGTCCATTTTGAATAAGAACTAGCCAATAGCTGACATAGTACTAACAAAATCAAGCTCGGAGAAATGATAACTATAATGGTAGTGAATATGTGAAAATAAGCCATAAATTTTGCATAAGCATTTGATGGTCTTTTGAGAACCATTAAGTCAAAAGTGAAAAACCGAGCATAGCAACAATGAAATTGTTGAGGCATTATCGAGAACTTACCCAAAACGAGAAAAAACATGATATGCACAACATTAGACGAATAAATTAATGAAACTCGAGGAAGAATTCACGGATGACTCTTTGTCGGATGTTGATTAAGAGCTTTAAGAATATCGCCATGTTTAAGAATTTACCAAAGTTTCATTACATCATAAGGGTAAATCTATTAGTCATTTGCTTGCAGTGCTTTCAAGGCATTGCCAAGAATCTGATCAACAAAAGTCAACCTAGTCCCACCTTAACTAGCCATGTAGTCAATAAAGATTGTCTAAAATCAACAAATGAATTTTGAATTTAAGTCAACTATCAGCTTAAAGAAGAGAGATCAAGAAACTAATACAAAAGGGCATTTGGTCTAGTGGTATGATTCTCGCTTCGGGAGCGAGAGGTCCCGAGTTCAATTCTCGGAATGCCCCATTTTAAACAATGTAATGACTTTTTTTTCTTAATTTTCTTTTTTATTTTGCTTTTCTGCTATTATGATATAATTTCGGTTGACTGACACTAAGCAAACTTGGTGACACTTGTTTGGAAATTGCTAATAGAAGGGATATCCTCTAAAGAGGCAAAAAGTCAACTTAGGGAGAAAAATCTATAAAGCAGTTATAGAATTGTCATTTACTATAAGCTACACATATTTGAAAATTCCATTTATTTTTTCTTAAATGCTGAAGTGATCTATCCCAAACCCAACCGAATTACATGATATGCACAAAATTAAAATAGTGAATTAAAAAACTTGACGAAGAATGTGTAGATGGGCACGGTTTCTACTTCACGTCAGAGGTTGATTAAGACCTTTTAAAACAGATACAATTATGCTCAATAAAGATAGTCAGATTCAAGAATTAACAAATAGCTGATAAGAGTACGAAAAGAAACCAAACCTCGAGAAACAGTAGGCTACATTAGAGTCCATTAGTAAATCTGTGAAAATAAGGAAGTAAGTTTTCTCAGAAGCATTGGATGGTTTTTCGCGAACCATAATGCAAAAAAAAAAAAAAAAAAAAAAAAAAAACAGGACTTCACAGCAATGAAATCGTTGAGCCATCATACGTAGTTTGTTAAGCGTGACATCTTGATGATGACATATTATGCACAGCATATAACAAGTGGATTAAAGAACTTTAAGAAACATCTACCTATTGAAGGATTGACAAAGTTTTCATCGCTAAGAATCCAATCGACCAAAGTCAAACCTAGTCCACCCTTATCTTACCTTACTGACAATAAAGGTTGTATGGAAGAAACAAAGGATTTATCTATCTAAGTGAAATGCATCTAGAGTCTAAACCCAGAGCATTATGCACTAAGAATAACAAAAGGGGCTTTGGTCTAGTGGGTATGATTCTCGCTTTTGGGGGCGAGAGGTCCCAAGTTCGATTCTCGGAATGCCCCTTTTCCAACAAGGTCATGCTTTTTTTTTGGCTTTTCCCCCATCAATTTATATTTTAAAAAATTAAAGGGAATTTCAATTATAAAGGCTGGCCAATCATCTTAAGGGGAGCAGAAATTTGGAAAACCAGCTATAGAATATTAAAATGTTATTAAGTTTATTT